GGTGTGCACAGTGGCAGGAGCTGCACCCCCTGTGCCCCCCCAGACAAGCTAGAGCTCCATCCCCCCACCCCGTGTCATCAGGGCAGCATCCACCCCTGTCCCACTCCTTCCCTCCCTCACTGTAGGACACCTTGATTTGCCCCCACACTCTTTCCCTCTCCCCTCCCCTTCTACCACAGTGCACCTTCCAGCTGCATGCAGCTCTCCACCCTGCTGGGCTCTGCTTCTTGCCACCTATGTGATGTGCCATGCTGCATGCATGCATGAGCATTTATCGGCCAACTTATCAGCCACATCAAGCTGATTTCCAATACCACCAGTTTTCTTTATATTGGTACTGATCTGATAGTGAACCGTTGTATCGGTACACCTCTAATGTATGGGTCCAGATGTTGTCTCTAGAGTCTTTCTCTGATGATTCTAAGTTCCATGTTCATGGATGGTTAATTGGGCGTTAATATTTGTAAGTATAAAAAAAAAAATTTAAATAGAAAATGGTACCATTTGATATATTGATTAGTTGATGATGATTATTTTCTAGGCATGCCTGTGAAAAATAACATTGCAGCTCTACGCCAGTCCCCAGGCCAGAATGGCACCAGCTTCCACGGCTGCATCCGTAATCTGTACATCAATAGTGAACTGCAGGACTTCAGAAATGTGCCACTTCAAGTGGGAATTCTTCCAGGTTGTGAACCCTGTCACAAGAAAGTGTGTGGGCATGGAACCTGCCATGTTACCAGCCAATCAGGCTTTACCTGCGAGTGTGAAGGAGGATGGACTGGACCACTTTGCGATCAGCAAGCCAATGACCCTTGTCTTGGAAATAAGTATGTCTTTTTTCAAGATAGAGTTATAATTTAACTATTTTTTCAGCAAGATATAAATGTATTGTGCACATGAGAGTAACACTGATTCCCATATTGGATCACTGAAGTATTGTTCTTTATGAGTGAAACTTCCCAGTACAAAAGGTCTGACAGTGGTACTATATACCACTTAAGCCTTCCTGGAAGCTCTAAAACTACAGAAAGCGAGGGGTCATGGATGCAATAGGCATCCATATTGCCATTTTTTTTTTTTAGAATATTTCAGAAAAAATATGTATTTCATTTCATTATTATCTACCATGAACTAGTAGTTACTTGTATGCTTATAGTTACTACATTGTGCCCGGACTCGGCTGGAAAACACGTTATTAAGCCAGAAGATAGCAATGATGGTAAAATAAGGGTTATCATTTTGTTTGCTTTTTAGTTGCGTATTCCTGCTAGATACTATACAGGCTATAATAACATTCTCATTCTTGGATCATGAGCTCCCAGCACAAGGCAGATCTGAAATTCAACTGTCTTAACATGTTCAGCACCACAATTTGTCATTGCCTTTTACCCATACAGCTGTCCTGACCACAATTAGCCAAGCAGCCCTTCTGGCAGAGCAGACTTTTCCAACCACTACTACTGATTTTTCTATGCCATACATACATACCTGCCTAACAGTAGAAGTTTGTGAGTGTTTCTTCTTTTATTCGTTTTCAGTATTTCAGACTACCACCAAATTCCTTTGAGATCCAGTAGCTTTATCTTGGGTTTCACTCGAAGGTACTGCTAAGAAGATTTTCTTTTGATGTTCTGGAATGACATCTGAAGGTTTCAGTAGTCTAAAGTTTACATTTGCACAACTTGGAGGCATTTCAGCATTTAGTATAGACCCCATTTCTACTTTCTTATTCATAGGGTTTATTTTTTGAGATTTCACTTTTCTTGAAATCATAAGAAGCACCCTTGGCTTCTTGAAATACAGTTTCATCCACAATCATGCCTAAGCAGGTCTGCTTCACATAATGTGAAGATGTCGCCCCTTAAACTTTGCATAGATAAACCCTCTCAGCAGCTTCCCCGAACATTTCTTTTCTACATTTTATACCTTCCCCATTACTTTTGTATCTGAGCATCTGTAAATAGTGCAGTAAACTCTGTGGCTAACACTGGATTTGTGTAGTTCTTTTTTCCTCTCCCATCCTCCCACACAGAGGGTGATTTATGTGAGTACAATTTATGCTTTTAGTATGGTTTTGTTGTGTTTTGAACCTTATGTGCTTATACAAATTTGTTTGAGAAGGCCGAGCTGAAGCTTTTAATTTTGTATTTTGAATACAAAAGGTTTGTGATGGTCTAGAGCTCCTGTGGGTATTTTTCCACAATCTCAGAGCAGCTCCAAAGAATGCCCTGTACCAATGAATTTTACCCGAATGGTTTAAGAATCCATTGTGCATAAGAAACAAAGCTGTCAACAATGGTCCTTATTCTGGAGTTGCAGGCAATCTCCTATAGATGCTGGACCCAATCCATTGAACAGCTTAGAAAAGCATAGATGCTTCACAGTAGGTATGCTGTGACCTGTGACATGATTTGAAGTAGGCTTGAAGCGTTTAATGGATCTGTTGGGGTCAAGCCTGTGCTAGATGATGAAATTTGATATTGGCATAGATCCAGCCACCCTCTAAACTGAACCTGTTAACTAACCACTAGTTGTCTTGATAGATATGACATCATATCTGGCTAGCTTTGTAAAGCATGGCAGGGGTATCAATGAATAATAGAACAGATGTAACTTGGATGATGAGTTGTTTCTGCCAAAGGACCAAACTCAGCAAATGCCAACAACCCAAAAGCCAAAGGTTGGTTAGGTACCTTTCATATAGCCAGAAGTGGGTGTTAGAAAGAGGCATTGTACAACTGATGGCAGTGTCCTCTTCAGCAGTACTTTCCTATCACCCCTTTATGCTCACCATGCTAAATTGCTTGTGGAGGATCAGAGTTGTGAATGTGGAGAAAAGTATTGCTCATATTCCACTGATTTGTAGACTGGGACAGAATTTTCCGATTTAAACTCCTGTTGGTGAAAAATGCATATTCAAAGAATCCAATAGGTGTATTTTTTCAGTTTTTCTAAGACCACATGATATAGGAAGAAGAAACATTAGAGTAGTCCATGTAAGGCCATGTTAGGCCACATGACATGGGGAGGAGAAACATTTGAGTAACTGTGAGTTAGACAGCTGAGATTGCTTTCAACTCCATCCATGAGCTGTCACTAAAATTGTCTCCCAGGGAAGCAGTATATATAAAGGAAACCTGTCTAGCAAGAAGAAAGTTACAGGAAATAAGTTTATTTTTTCTAGGAATAAAGCCATTGACCTTGTGCCACCAAATGAAAGAGGGAATGGATCTTATTCCAAGGAACTCCTGAGGCTTACTACACTTTAATTAATGTGATTGGAAACATGTTCATGTACACAGGAATCCAGGCATGCTGCTCAACTCAAAGCCTTTTTACCTTAAGCAAAATTCAGTATACCACAAGTCCACTGGAAAAGGTTTATCTGATCTGCAAGCAGACAGTTGAAGTAGTCTTAGTACCTGTGGCAATCTTAATTTATTCTGCAGTCTAAGCATATCTTGAAATAGGCAGCACCAATTAGTTGTGCAGTAAGGAACTGGCTGGTAAATTATAATACGTGAGGTTGAGATAAACAGTACGTGGGGAAATGGGAGACTTTGTGCTCAGCTACCAATCTGCCACTTCTTGAAAGGATCAGAAACCTTTGAGCTGGGGAGATTCTGACCTGTGTCATTCTGGGAAGCCAAACTCTCAGGAATGAGGACCCTGTGAAACAATACTTTTGAAGTGCACAAAATATGGGCAAGTATCATTCTCTCTTGTCTTTTCATGTTTAATGCTAAAGACTTTGTGGATTTAGGTCCTGATTTTGTATTCCTTGCACACTTCACTCTCACTGAAAATTAAAGCAGGTGAGATATGTTGGATTTAATAATTGTGACCTATACAAGTCTTCCATAACACATCTACAGTGGCTGTTTTCTGGCAATAGGAGAATAGTATCCTGTACAGCAGTGTGTTTTCCAAACCACTCATAAAAAGCTTGTATACACTACTTCAGTGCATCTCACTGAAAAGTGCATTAAAAAGTCTATAAGCAATTTGTTTTTGAGCACAATCCAAAGTATTTGTAATTAATGTTGCTTACCTTAAACTTTGATGAATAATTTATTTTTATTCTCTTGGCCTTGTTTTCTCTGTAGATGTGTGCATGGTACCTGCTTGCCAATCAATGCATTTTCATACAGTTGTAAATGCCTGCAGGGACATGGGGGAGTCCTCTGTGATGAAGAGGAAATGCTGTTTAACCCCTGCCAGTCCATCAGGTGTAAACATGGCAAATGTAGGCTTTCAGGCCTTGGGAAACCATATTGCGAATGCAGCAGCGGATACACGGGGGACAGCTGTGATAAAGGTAAGCCATTCAACATATTCTAATATTTCATGTTAGAAAGAGTCCTTTTTAAACATGAACAATCAAGCCATTGCCAATCTTTTTTCCGCTACAATCCACTCATAGTTTTTTTTTTTGTAAATATACTGTAAAAGGCTTGTCTCAGTGAGATTAAAAGCCTAACCTGTTTGCCCATGAATTTAAATATTTATACTTAGATTTTTTCATCAAGTATTTTGCTGTGAAAACATTTCTCTCTTTTTTTTCCCTTTATTCAGAAGCACATTTTCCCTATATATAACTATTACCTTTTACCTGCTGTATCTTTCTGTATTTATTGTTTCTCTGCCTTCTGCAACTGAGAAGCCAAATCCAATGATTCTGCTCCTAGTTTTATCACAAACTCTACTTTTGACCTCTCAGCTTCAACTGATTTATCACAGCGAATTATGCAGGTGAGATGGATAAAAACAGGATGACTTTTCCCCCTACCTTTTTCTTTTTTTCCTTTGTCTATCAGAGCTTCCCCCCTCCCTCTTTCTCCTTTACCCCAGCTGGCATTTATTTTGTATTGTGCATCGATGTGACTAGAATAGAGGGATATTATGGTAGAACTTTTAACAGATGTCTCATTTTTAGTTGGTTTTATACCTCAGTAATTTATGAAGTTAGTGGAATGTAACTTGTATTAAATAACAGATTGAATAATATTAAACTCCATGTCTAATAAATTAAACTGCATGCTCTGTAAAACAGTTCCCTATGGTAAATAGAGCCAGCTGCAAGCAGAATAGGAACAGAAGATGTGTATGTTTGTAATAATAAAAAAAAGATTTAAGCTTCAATTTTCTTGTCATTGTAATAACATAGTATTTATGGTTTACATACCTGGTATAAACTTCACAGAAAATAGCAAAATGAAGAAATAAAATTCAGCATCAATAAAATACCATTTCACAAAATGCTTGCTTTTCTTGTATAAGATGAAAGTCAAACATTAAAAAAGCAGTTACCTAAAGATATTTTACATTTTCTTGGTGTACTCTGTATTGTGAGTCATTCTGTAACTTGTGTATGTCATATTTGTTTTGTTATGTTTTTTTACAGAAGTCTCTTGTCGAGGGGAACGAATCAGAGATTACTACCAAAAGCAGCAAGGGTACGCTGCGTGCCAGACGACCAAGAAGGTATCGAGACTAGAATGTAAAGGAGGATGTTCAAATGGGCAGTGCTGTGGACCGCTAAGGAGCAAGAGACGGAAATACTCTTTTGAATGCACTGATGGGTCCTCATTTGTGGACGAGGTGGAGAAAGTGGTAAAGTGTGGCTGTACAAATTGCCCCTCCTAAATGTGCCCCCGTCACACTTGTCTTTTGAAAATGTTGTATACTTATTGACCGTGTCGGACTAATTAATGCTTCATAGTGGAAATATTTGAAATATATTGTAAAATACAGAACAGACTTATTTTTTATTATGGGAATAAAGACTTTTTCTTCATTTGAAAAATGATTCAAGTGCTTGAACTGAGACTTCTTATAATCAAGAGGAGCTTTGAAGAAAAAAAAGAACCTGGTAACATTGAAACAGTGATGGCAAACGTAACTGCTTTTAACATGGATTCTTCTTTATAACATGCTGAAGATACACTGACATTATACACATGTGACTTTCAACCTAAAGCTCATTGATGAACAGTTGACCAGAATAAGAGGCTTGCCTTTTCACTTTCATATCAATATATTATATTGTCTTGACAGAGCATAGCAATCACTTACCTATGGATGATGAAGAGTTATGAGTGAAAGAAATCAGATTATACAGCTATAACAGATGTATGTGATGCATTTTGTGTGGCAAAATTATTGACCATCTTGGGAAGATGGGGGTTCACATAATAGATGGGAGAGTTTAAGATGTGAAAATGTACTCTAATCCTAAAATCTCCTGATGGTGTACACATTTGTCAGCATGTTAGCAAAAGAAGCATACAAAAAGTGTCTTTCTGCCTTTTTTCCAGTATTAATTTTTTGTAATATAAATGTTATGGGATGATAAAATAGATTATTGATGGATAAATTAGTAATAATATGAATTTCTGTTTCTATGAGTTCTAAACAACTTTATACAGTATTCAGTTTCATTGAGAAATATTTATTGTATCAAAGTACATTGTACTTAACCTTTTTAGGCCATCCCTTTTACTGTTTTTCAATGCTTTAATATATATTAATTTATATTTGTCCTGGTATTTTTGTATTTTGGTTTTTTTAAAGACTTAAAATCAGGATTTTTGCAATAGAACTAACATAGCATGTCATCTTGGGGTAAACGTTTTTGGTCTGATTCTTTATTTTTTCCTTAGCATCTGACCACTTGGTGTCACTGAATCTGAAACTGAAAGTGATAAGCCTGCAATTTTTATGTTGAGCGAACATTCAGGACACCTCCTAAGAACTTGTAATGTATGAGAGAAAATGTCTTTACACTAGATGGCAATTGTTTAGAAGTAAATTTTCCCTATATATACAGTAAAATGGTGTGTAGAAAATGACACTAGAAAGTAGACCTCCACAAATTAATATTCCCTTTGAGCTCCTTACCTTTTCTAAAATAAGAAAAAAGAAAAAAAAGGCTGTACTTTCAAGAACTGTGAGTTTTTCCAGATAATAAAACTACTTTATTGCCCTAATGTTCCCCATGTTAACATGTTGCTGCTAAATTACAATGTAGGATTGGTAACATTTAATAGTGGGTTTTGTTCTTCTTTCATTCAAACCCAGGGTACCCTGTAAAATGCAGATTTTTTTCAATTTCATTTTATTTTTTACAAAAAAAAGTTAGATGTACATGTGTAATTCAGTGTGCTTCGTCTTATTTGGACTGATATCAGTAATGCTACTGATGTTTGTAAATTAAACAGATATTTACTTCATTAATAGATTTTCTTGGTATTCTTTTGAGAATTTTAACTTGTCTTACAGCCTTTAACTAAATATCTGTAGTTGCAAATAATATTTGGCAAAACTAAAAATACAACCCAACCCCAGTTCTAACCTATGAATTTCTGACAAGCTAATAGAGAAATTTCCATGCAATTTTTACAGCCTCAGCACTACAAGTGGTATCAACTGAAAATGTGAGTAGTGCGGATCATGTGTCTTTAGGAAAATCTCGGCCTAGCTATAAGTTGAACAGAAAAGCACCAAATCTACAGTGCCAAAATTTAAAGCCAGATTAATGAAAAACTTGTAAATATATTATAAGACAATAAAACTTCATATCTCCCTTATATTTTAAGGAGCATAAAAATGGCAACTCCATTGTAACATTTGAGAGACTACTTTGTTGGTTTTTCATAGTTTGTTTTTCTTTGTCTTTTCGTTTGAATTATTGGACAGTTGGACAAAATAATGTTTCTGAAACTCAAGTTGTTTGTTTAACATTTGAGAATGCCATGTTTCTGTTGTCTGGGATGTATTTTGGAATTTGTCTGACCATCTAGTGAAATAGGAATTGGCCTGTGGCTTTTCCTGCAATTACTAGGATTTCTGAGTAAGCAAGTAGTCAGCTATTCTACCTGTGTGATAACAGGGATCCTGGTTTTCTCTGTTTAAAAATCACACATTTTCTGATAAAAAATGTTGCAAATTCTCTGATTAAAAACCCTAAAATCTGCGTTTTTCCACAATTAAAATGAAACACCACTCATATATATAAATATAAAAGTATCAGTTGGCCACAACGTTTTCTTGATATATTCACAATTTTAAAGCAATTTGGAAGCCTACCAGTGCCTCAATCACTATAATAAAAGTAATGCTAAATACTTTAAAATGTTGGCGTTCGATTTTGGGTTTTTTACCCTGGAAAGTTGGAGTTCTCCCTGCCCCCTTGCTCACCAGGATGCAAGTCCAGCTGCAGGTGTCCCACGCCACTACTTTGTGGTGCTGAGCACCCTGATATGCCTGTGCCCTGCCATTGCGCCTCACTCCCAAGCCACAGCCCCCCAGCCCTGCTGGTGCCACTAACTCCCAACCTCCAGCCCCCTGGCCCTGCCAGTGCCCTTCACTCTTCACCCACAGCCCCTTGGCCCTGCTGGTTCCCATCACTCTCCAGCCATACCCCGCTCCACCCCCCATCTGCCAGAGCTATGGGGCCAGGGACCCGAGTTTGAAGCCCCATCTGCCCAGCAGTGCCTGAGCCCCAGCAAAGCACGGAGCCAATGGGCGGCATGGCTGGAACAGAGCCCATGGGTGGTGCAGATGTGAGCTGAAGGCCACAGGCTCAGGGCTCCCTGCCCTGCTGCCCTCCTCCCAGAGGGTCCACAGTGCAAGCTGACATGGCAGGACAAAGTGAGCTAGGGAGGCTTGGTGCTGCCGCCAGGAGGCCCATGTTGCCATAGCGAGGTGCCTCTGCCAACCCGGCAGCAGTGGGAGACGCAACTCCACACGTAGGTCAAAAAATGATTGGAAAACAATACAATCAGAGTTGAAAATGCACTAGTTTGTGTACAGCCATGAGTTTGAAGACAGAGAATTTGAAATCGATGTAGAAAAAGTAAAGAAATCTGCAGAACCAATGGGCCTTGTTATACATTATACAGAGCAAATGTTATATTTAGATCGTAGTAAGCATTAATGCAACTTGGAACTGCTCAGAACATTTTCTATGTTAGTGCCCACTGGGTGCATCTACACATGTGTTTAAGGTGATGTGATAAACTCTGGTGCAGTTTACACCTGGTCAGCTAATCCCAGGCGCAGCGTCTGCATGTGTGCCTGGGACTACACACATGAAATGTTTGAGCTGGGGCAGAGCAGCCCTGCTCTGGATGATAGCAGGGCTGCTCTGGATGATAGCATGGGTGGCAGAGGGGCTAGCTGCAGCATGCGGGTGCTGAAAGAATGGGGTTAGGTAGCAGGCAGCCTCCACATTTTGGCACCCTAGTGCCCTAGCCAGTCCCGTCACCCTCTACATGTGCTATCCCCATGTAGAGGGTGACAGGAGGGACAGCACTATCCTACAGTGAAGTTAATTAATTTACTGCACCCTAATACTGGCATGTGTATAGATAGTGACACTTTACTGCTGAGCAATAAAGTGCACATGTAGATGCACCTGCTGGCCATGTCAAGGTGAGTGCAGACATGCAGTATGTAGCACCACAGACCCATCTGTGGCACTGCACATGCAGGCATTCTTTGTCCTACTATTCTGCAGTGCAGGGGGGGGGAGGGATGGTTGACCCCAGGAGATCCAAGGTCAAAAGAGCCCACTCAAAAAAAACGAAAACAAAAAAAGGCAGGGCGGCCCAAAACCAGAGCTTGGCCAGCCAGAGCCATGCTCCAGTGCCAGGCAGGTTTCCTGCCATGGTTACAGCCCCAGGAGGCCCCCAGAATCCTGGGTAAGGATGCTGGGTCCAACCCAGTGCTGGGCCCAACCTTCCCTACCCCACTCAAGGTAATTGCCACACGCCAGAGCACGGATGGCATGGGCATTCCCCGGGGACAAGTAAAGTGACACAAGGTGTGCTGCTGCTAATTGTCCCTGGGGAAACAGAAGTCCACTCTCATCTTGCCGTGCCCACTATGATTTAAATATAAATCATAGAACTGCACTGGAGCCTGGAATTAAAAAAATATTTACAAACACTGCAGTGATCTGGAATAATGCTAATACGCATACTTTGTAGTTCATTTTGTTATCCTCTTCACAGCCTGTGAAGCGCTCAGCATTTTGTAGTTAGTATGCTAAGGAAAAAAACAGCTATTACAAGCTTCAACAAGTAGGGTACTTATTCACAGAAAACTTTAAAGCAAGTTTGTCACAGCTGAGTTTCATAGTTTCTAGGGTTGGAAGGGACCTGAGCAGATCATCTAGTCCGACCCCCTGCCATGGCAGGGAAGAGTACTGGGGTCAAACGATCCCTGCAAGGTGTTCATCTAACCTCCTCTTAAAAACCCCCAGGGTAGAAGCCTGCACCACCTCTCTTGGAAGCTGGTTCCAGACCCTAGCCGCCCTGACTGTGAAATAGCACCTCCTGATGTCTAACCTAAACCTACCCTCTGCCA